TTACTCAAGTCAGAGTGTGTTGATGTATATGAAAATAAGGAAAAGACGCACCTGTTACTCAAGTCAGATTGTGTTGTTGTATATGAAAATAAGGCTTAACTTTTTTATGATTTCTTAGTATTTTTACCGCATTAAAATATCATGAAAATTGACATAATCTAAACACGGGAAGATTAGGAAACGTTTGGTTGGGTACGAAGAAGACAATTAAGAGATGGCTAGATTAATAATGAAGATGAAGACGATTGATAAAACATAAGACATTTTATTTACAAGGTTCGAATGTTTCGGAAACGTTGGTTAGGTTAATCTCAATACCAACCAATGAGCTGTATGTAACTCGTTCCTAAACTCAATACCAACCAATGAGCTGTATGTAACTCGTTCCTAATCTCAATACCAACCAATGAGCTGTATGTAACTCGTTCCTAATCTCAATAACAACCAATGAGCTGTATGTAACTCGTTCCTAATCTCAATACCAACCAATGAGCTGTATATAACTCGTTCCTAATCTCAATACCAACCAATGAGCTGTATGTAACTCGTTCCTAATCTCAATACCAACCAATGAGCTGTATGTAACTCGTTCCTAATCTCAATACAACCAATGAGCTTTATGTAACTCGTTCCTAATCTCAATACCAACCAATGAGCTGTATATAACTCGTTCCTAATCTCAATACCAACCAATGAGCTGTATGTAACTCGTTTCTAAACTCAATCTCCCGAGTTTAAAAACTTTCAGAAGACATTTCTCAGCATATATATATTTATCATGAGTTTTAGAAATCCCCAAATCATTATATTCAAAAAGAAGAGTTTACATATGTACACAAATATAAGGAAAATCATGCAGATTTGTGGATGATTTGTCAGTATAAGGTCTTCTATGACACTGGAACCATAATTTGTCAGTATAAGGTCTTCTATGACACTGGAACCATAATTTGTCAGTATAAGGTCTTCTATGACACTGGAACCATAATTTGTTAGTATAAGGTCTTCTATGACACTGAAACCATGTAAATTTGTATACAGATTTTAAAAGTATTACGAAAAGAGTTTTTTTTTTTTTTGTAAAGATCCTTTATGTACTGCAGTCGCGAAAAAAAGTAGTGCGTGCAGTGATTTTTGTTATAACTTATGTACAGCAGTTTTGGAGAAGTAGTGCGAAAAGTGGCAGCTTTGTAAAGCGTGTTTATCTATAGTCGCGGAAAAGTGGTTTTAGCAATGTTTCGCAAGTGGTGGAAAAGTCACTGAAGTGCGTTTTTCTACCGTAATTACGTCGATGTACCCAGTTAACTGCTTAAGAATACACATACCGGTTGATGTAAATAGTTCATGTGATACTTGAAGACGGTTTCATTCTCACTATCTGTTACTTCAGTTCGAAAACAACGTGTCGTAACAACAAAAACCTTGGCAGGAAGTGAACAGTAAGCACGCGTTAAAGATTGAAAATAAATCGCACGGATGAGCGAGAGAGAGAGAGAGAAAAAAAAAGCAAAGTGTTTGTAAAGTGGACAGCTTCTAGTAAAACAGGCAGCCAGGAAATAAAAGAAGAAGAAGAATAAAACACCATGATTTATTATTAATATTACTCTTAGATCAAATTCCTTTAGATTCCTATAAAAGGATCTGTTCCAAAAGACTTCCAGCAGAAACACTGTATTCGCTTTAATTTGGTTATTATGTATAAACGTTTAGACATGGAATACTGGAAATAATTACAAAAATGGTGAATAATGTTGGTGCGAAATAGAAGTATTGTGTGATTTTTTTTTCTCTCTTCTATTGTATGAGAATGAACTCCACCAGCATAATACCTATAGAAGTACAAGCAGTGATACCATGCCCAGTAGTTGTGTGATGAATGCACTTATGGCTTCAGTATTGTGCGATTTTTTTTCTCTCCTCTATTGTATGAAAATGAACTCCACCAGCATAATACCTATACAAGTACAAGCAGTCATACCATGCCCAGTAGTTGTGTGATGAATGCACTTATGGCTTCAGTATTGTGTGATTTTTTCTCTCCTCTATTGTATGAGAATGAACTCCACCAGCATAATACCTATACAAGTACAAGCAGTCATACCATGCCCAGTAGTTGTGTGATGAATGCACTTATGGCTTCTAAAACAGGAATGCCTCACAGTTTTAGTTGATGATGACTATTCCATGCAACAGAATGAGACGAAAGGTGAAATTCCATGTTTCAATAACAGCTGTGTGCGAAAACTGAGAAGAGGGCGTGTGAAACTAGCGTTTTGAGTACAGAAGCGATTGAGGTAAAAATCCCAAACGCTTCAAAAGTGAGGTTAAATAACTCAGAGTATATACTTTAAGGGATATATCACAATGTAT